CAGAAATATATATATATTTATATATCTATATTTACTTATTATAATAATAATATATTTATAAGAATCCGGAAAAAAAAAAAATGACCCCCGCTGTTTTGGCTCTCAGTGTGTAGCAGCATCAAATGTGTTAAGGAGAAATGGGATTTTTTTTAAACTGAATTATACAGTTATTCTGCCCCTCCGTGGGACTTGGAATGCATGAGAAAGTGCTGTGCTGATTTCGATCCTTCATTTTTCTTCCATTTCGTCTCTTCCTGGAGACTCTCTACAGATCTCACCGCCGCGGCTTTTCACATCTGAACACGGGGAGGAAGACAGAACAGAGGGACAGTTTAGAAATACATAGGTAGAGCACAAGAAAACCGATACACAATGGGGGGAAATTCTAAATTTGCACAAATTTTCTAAATGATCCCAACAGTTTTTAGACCAAAATGTACAGTGTTGAAGTTTCACCAGAACTTGAAAATCATTGTTAAATCCTTCAGGGGACCAAGTGCATGTAGCGATTGGTCCTGTTCTGATCTGTGCTATGGTTGGAATTCTCCAGGGCACAATGTGCATATGGCGCTTGGTCCTGTTCTTACCTATGGTCGGAATACTTGAGGGAACCAAGTGCAGGTAGCACTTTGTCCTGATCTGATCTGTGCGGTGGTCAGAATTCCCCAGGGGACCACGTGCATGCAGCGCTTGGTCCTGTTCTGATCTGTGCTCCGGTCGGGATTCTCCAGGGGGCCAAGTGCATGTAGCGCTTGGTCCTGTTCTGATCTGTGGTTGGAATTCTCCAGGGGACAATGTGCATGTAGCATTTGGTCCTGTTCTGATCTGTGAATTCTCCAGGGGCCCAAGTGCATGTAGCGATTGGTCCTGTTCTGATCTGTGCTGTGGTTGGAATTCTCCAGGGGACAATGTGCATGTAGCATTTGGTCCTGTTCTGATCTGTGAATTCTCCAGGGGCCCAAGTGCATGTAGCGATTGGTCCTGTTCTGATCTGTGCTGTGTTTGGAATTCTCCAGGGGACCAAGTGCATGTAGCACTTGGTCCTGTTTTGATCCATGTTGTGGATGGGAAATATAAGCACTTTTTTTGTGCTGACTGTCGCTTCACCCCAGGATTCTTATGGTGTGACTACAGCACAGAACTCTAGCCACCCCCCGCCCCCTCATCCTCTGAGCCCACACACCACGTGTGTGTGTGTGTGTGTGTGTTTCCTCCCTCTTGCCAGTCATTAGCCAGCTGTCACCTGGATGTAGTTGCTCTCCCAGTAGTTGGCCACCAAGGTGAGGTAACTGATATAGAGCCAGTATCACCTCCTCCAACACCATTTGCAGCTTTACCATATCCTCACCCCATGCATATCTTAGTTGTCTTTCCTCCTGTGCACAAGCAAGCCCAGACCCACCAGCCTACTAGAGTAGTAGCTGGTGTCTTGCGTTGTTAAAATGACGGTGCTCAGCTCCATCGTTCCGACTGACAGAGACGAGCGGTCATTTCCCCTTCTCTCGTTAGAGATTCGAATCCTTGTGAGCAGCATGGTCACACAGCAGTTCGGAGAAGAGCGGCATGCTGTCGGCTACACCAGCTCACCAACCACAGCACGTATCTGAGCAGTCCAGGACCACATGCACTTGGTGCCCTGGAGGGATTCAACAAGGATTTTCAACTTCTGTGGATACTTCTTCTTTATGCATCCCAAATAAAACTATTCATGGTTCTTCTAAAGCAGCACATTAACCAAAGCACCCAAGGTTTAGTTTGTGTAGACCATTATAATACGAATGAACTGGGCTCTTCTCTCTTTTTATTTGCACAGAAGGGCCAGTGACATTTAGAAGAAAGTGAGGACAGAGACGGGAATAAAAAGAATTCATTTCTGGCACAAACTGAGCAGAGAGAAAAAAAAAAAAGCTGAAAAGAATAAAAAAAAAAAAAAAAGAAGGATGATCATCAATAACTAGATCCTACAGTGTCCAGAGATGTGTGGAATAGGCTCTTTATTAGTAACCTTGGGTAAAAAGTCTGGAAGCTGGTCAGTGGATGAATCATTCGCACACTATCTACATATAAAAAAAACCCACACAGGGCAGGAGATTGTGCACCCTATTATTACACAGACGTGGCAATATGTAATCACTAATGCCCCATCCAGTCTGCTCATCTATGGCTTATGGGTGACAATACAAGGAGAGAACAAGGCATAGGGTGCACCTTCACCCCTATCTTAGGGTGCCAGGGTGCAGTACAAAAATTATTTTGGATTTAGTCTGAACGGTTGGGATGTGATCAGCAGGACAAACATTAAAAGACTTAAATTTACACATTTCAAAAGGCTTTTATTTTCTTAGGAAGCACATTCCATCCCATCACTTCTAAAGCCAAACTGTACATGAATGCATCTGCTAGGAGATGGAAATAAAATGGAGGAAGAAGCAGGTGTTATTTGGGGTAACTTACTTTGCTGCACAGAGGTGGCACAGCGCATGTTAGTGAGCGAGGTCAGCGGAAAGAGGGGCCCCATATGGCTGGACTGCTCTAGGACTCTTGCCTCTCCTAGTGGAAGACAACATACTGCTCTAATTGGGTTCCCTGTGGAAGCTCTATCAAAAATAACATTCCAGCTGTGATGCAGTTGGGTTCCTTCCACTCTGGTCAACATAGAGTGTGTGTAGGACAGGGGTAGCCAAACTCCGGCCCTCCAGCTGTGGTGGAACTCCAAATCCCCATGAAGCATGGCAAGATCTCACAGCCACGACTCCCGGAGAGAGGCATCATGGGATTTCACCACAGCTGGAGGGCCGGAGTTTGGCTACCCCTGGTATAGGACCTCAACACATAATAGATGTGATGGATGGATGGATGTAGAATCTCCTCCATATAGTATAGCACAGACTAAGTCTCTAAAGGATTCTCTCCACCATTGCACACGTTTAAATAAACCCAAACAGATCTACATTTCTGCACATTAAAAAGATATTTATGGGTATTTAAAGGGATCTGAAGAGCACAATCTGTGCTATGCACCATTTGGGTATGTGAAACCCATATACAGATACTGTAATGTTTGGCTCAGTCTCTGACCTGCGAACTCGGGTCACGTGACATCTGGGGGAGTTGACGTCACATATCAGTCCGAATCCAGACCTAGAGTCCTTCTGACCTCCACTAATAAATGACAGGACAAGTATATCTGTAGAAGACTTGTTACTTGAAGTGTTGTTAATGTGCATGTTTAGACTCCAACTACGGAGCACAGAGAGGATGAAGGACAGAGTATCAGAGAGGGACAGAGATAGGAACAGAGCACTAGAACTTTGAGAAGACAGTTTCAAGCAGCAATCAGCAGTAACAAGCAGCTCTATCTTTGCATTTGCATTTGGATTTTCCATGTGTGAGTAAAACCAACCTGCAAGTCCTTTCGTTTAACTCAAGCTGCCTCGTTTTGCAACGTGAGTCTGTGTTTTTACAGGAACATTTACAGGTCTTGGGGTCTTGGACAAACAAGTGTTTTCTCCTCTCTGTGTCTGTGCAAGGCTCACAAAGACTGCAAAAAGCAAAAGGAAAAAAAAAAAAGAAGTTCTAAGCTACAGCGCAACAGCAAGAGAAATGTCAACATGCATTACTCCTGAACATATATTACAAGCAATCCCTCCAAAATCACAGAACCCCCCCCCTTCCTGAGGTGGCCACCAGCCTGCCCCGCTTTTAGACCTCCCATTCTAACACATTGGGAGACATAAAGGCAGAGCAGGTCAACTTGAATGGAAGGTGGACACCAAAAAGGGTTGCTGGAATACTTCATAACCCAATCTCTATGAACAGCCCTTTAAGTGAGTGGCCTCCATGTTGAGTAGCCCTTTCAACGCACAAGGTGGCTTGTTCTCTCTCTCCCCCCCCCCCCCCCAAACTACCGGTGTGCTCCTTGACCAATATTCAGCCACCTTCCTGTGTTCTCGTTCGAAGACAAATAAGAGAAGCAGAAGGAAGCAGACACTGCGTAGCATTAGAAAGCTGCATTTGGAAGGGGGATATGCAATTAATTTTTTAAATGAGGAGCACCTTATTATATATATATATATTTTTTTTATGCAAGATATGCATGATCAGTTCATATAATTCACATTTCTGTGAGTGAGTTAATTTAATTAGAGAGTGTTAATCAAAGACTGGCAAGAGAACAGAAATTAAGAACCCAAATTCAGCAAACCTTCCAAATGCAGTATTTTAGGATTAGAGGAGAGCGTAAGTAGAGCAAAGTGTAGCTGAGAGAATGTGCTAGGCGCTACCTCTTTGTCCTTGTTAATAGGAAAACCAACAATATTTCATCACCACGTTTATGTGCAACACTCAGGAGAGTAGAAAATGGCTGCGCCCACGTCACTTGTGTACTATGCCCACAGTCTCTAGACCATGCTAGAATTTACTCAATTGGCTTCTAAAAAGGTATAAAACAGCAACATTTTTAAAACGATGGCCCTATTCCAGCGGTCTACGTTAGTTGTAGATCAGTGGCAGTTTAAATCTCGGAGAAGTACACATTTCAAGGGATAACATCAGCCATTTTGCTACCTCTCCAAACCCCAGCCAAAGCACGGTGTATGCGTGTGTTAAGTGACTGCAGTCTCACTTAGGACCCAAGGTGAAGCAGATATGTTTTTCAGTAGTTTCCCCATTACAAGAGCAGGACCCAAGGTGAAGCAGATCCGTTTTTCAGCGGTTTCCCCATAACTAGGAGCACGAAAGATCAACTACAAAGACAACTGCAATCAAATTAAAAAGAAAAGTAATTTAGTACGAGTCGTATGCAACTGATAGATGAATTTGGAGGCTGCCTTCTGGGCAAACCTAGATATCTAGGTGTTAGGTCGATATAGAAGAGTTGCCTCCTGATAAAAGGTAAAGGACAAGTGGCTGATATGAATGGTGGCATCACTTTGGCTCATAGAGAGACTGCTCGTTGTGATAGCCTAGTGGGAATGGGAACAATGGAGAGACCACTGTGACTGCATTGACCGCAATTAATGATCTTATAGATCCAAGCTTCATGTTGAATTGTAAGGCGGCCTGTGTGCCCAGGCCTGGGAATCCGATTGGGAAAGAAAAAAAAACTATACCAAAGTGGAACAGTTGTCCAAAGTTCTTTGTCACAGTTGCAATGTTTATCACAGCCTATAGAATACAGAAGCCAGCTAACAGACAGCCCATTTATAAGCCTAGCAATCTTGCATGTCACAATGACCAATGTGCCAATAGAACCGCAATCAAGCAATGGACTGTGAATGGATACCACCACCGGTGTCATCAGAAGCCACCACCACTTCATCCCCACCAAGATAAGCTGACCTAATGTAATCATGAGATCTAAAGAGGCGGAGAGAAACCCCAGAGAAGAACTAGCGACCTCTACGGAAAGAATTGCTGCTATCCCAGAATCTGGAAATGGAAGGGTGGAAGCCTCAATGGTTGGAGCACCACTGCTCCCATACCTGAGCTGCAAGAACTTTTCTAATAGAGGCCACAACCAGGAACGAGGTCAGAGGTAATCCAATCAGTTGCTGGGGTCTTTCATATCTCAGCATTAATAAGCTTAAAACACCAAGTCTCATGATGACATTAAGACAGCGCAATACATCCCCCCCCCCCTTTCCCGGTCCATATTTACCCATCACCACAAAGCCCCTCAATTACACATCCCCGATTTCCATTTACCCCAATCCGCAAGACACAAGCAGATTAATGGGATTAATTTGTGGAATGATATGAAACAATGCCGTGTTTTATTGGGGTGTTCCGTGTTTTTTTTTAGTGAGCACGCGATACAAACGTACAAGCGGTGCGATTTGTACCGGATTTTCTTGCGCTTTCGTTTAAGGCCCTTCCCTCGTTTTGCTTTTCTGGAAGAAAAAAAATAAAAAACAGAGAGCGAGAGACAGAGAGAAAAGGGCAAAAAACGAGAGAAACTAGAGCAGCATGGGAGGCGGGTATGGGAGACGTAGGGTGCCTGGTAGCAGAGTTAATATGTTGGATTAGGTATTCCAGATGAGGTTGCCTTTTACCCAAGTTCTTCTCCAATGTGGGGAAACCATCAAACTACGCTTCTAGGGAGCAGTCAAGGAATGAGAAATGAACCACCAATGAGGCCTTTGGTAACTGCAAACGCAGATTGGGGTTAATGCTGTGCAGTGTTAACGAATACCTCTGGAACTTCTGATCTATTTCCAGTAACGAACATGATGACATCATATTGCTTCCCAGTGTTTGAAACCTTAGACTGTATACCCACCCATACAGGACAGCCAACATGTGTATCCGATACTTAGGATTCTTCTACATTAATGGAAGAATGCTTTAGACAATACTTGGACAGTCACAAGTATAACCTTACTCCAGCACCGAGATGGTTTACAGGAGGAGGCCTCTCTGAGAACAAGGACAGTTTATCTGTAACTTCTAATTACATGGCTGCTGTAGAATCAGATAGATACTGGCTGTTGTCTTGGGGCAGATGCATACAGGTCTTTGTACCTGCCTGGATAATACCTGCATGATGTGCTGGAATGCAGCAAAACTATGACTAGGCCCACATATACAAACAGGAAGGCTGAGGATAGCGGCAGCGTGACCGCTCCCTATCTACTGCCATCTCTGCACAGATGTTGTCACGGACTGTGAAAAGGCATCATACTCGGCCAGCACCTGTCCAGATCATCGTTTATCAGCGTGCTGAGAAGATCAGTTTGCTGGTGGGAGCAAAGTCAGAAGCAATGTCACTGCAGTTATCTCCCCCTTCCTAATTATGAAGCTGCATGAAGAACAGAGGTGACCTTTCCCACACACGTGGCTGGATATTAATAGTAAGCCTAATAGGAAAAACATCTCTCTCTCTCGAGCAGAGCATTGTGGGACGTGCCCTCAAGTAGTATTTCCATGGCCTTGCTCAGACCCTTCCAGCAGGTGACTCCGAGGTTTGGAGCAAACTTAAAAGCAGAAAGGCCCAGCTGTGCTAAATGATTATTGCATCTTGGTGTATATATAAACCTGAGGCAAGAGGAAGACTTTACAATGAGTGCCTAAGCTTAAAATACCGTAGAAGCCCAAGGCCTCAAACCCCATGGGAGCAAGCAGAAAAACTTTTAAGATATAAATCACAGTTTCCTTAAAAACCTGGACTAGAACTATAGTAGACACAACTGAGCCTTACGGCATGGCATATCTTTTTTGCACATGTCCTGGTCCCCTAATTTCAGATGACTGATTCATTCTAAAATACCTCCCGATTGCACGACATCACAACTGCCAGAACCCAGCTACAAACAGGTTAACACCTCAAATCCTAGAGCTTCATGCTACCAGCAGCATAGAAGCATGATGCTGCAAGAGGGTTTGAAAAGAAGCTTCAGCTGCACTGATGCCAGGTGGCAAGTTTCAACAGGGTTTAAGAAGCCGCCCTTACTGTATCCCCCCTGGGCTTTTATCCACCCCACCTCTCCACTAAAACGAAAGTGCTGGGGACTAACACTGGGGCCTATAAAGCTGGGTGTTCTGGAGAAGAGGACCTGAACCTTGCCTAATAAGATGGAGAATACAACTCTGCCCCGATCTACGTCAACAACCTCGTCTGAAAATATCACCCAAACAGTCCACTTCGTTCCTTCCAAGACCTCCTGCTATCTAGTTCCCTCATCACCTCCTCCCATGCTTGCCTCTAGGACTTCTCCAGAGGCTCGTCCATCCCCTAGAACTCCCTAATCGACCAGCATGGCCATCTCCCACTAAGTCTGCCTTTAAAAGGAGAATTATGGGGTTAGGGCTTTTCCACCATAGTTCTCCTAAGAGTCACGGGAGAACACAAACTAGCGTCCTCCCGTAACCCAAAGCTCAGTATACCGCGAGCCAGCAGTACCTGCTCCCTCACCCGTCCATTTTGCCAGTCAGCGCTGGAGGATCGGAGCGGGGGAAATCCCTGCAGGGAGCCGTGAGTGACAATCACGGCTCTCTGCAGGGATAGATCGAGAAGTGAGCGAGCGACGCTATGCGTTCGCTCACTTCCCGATCTACTGAGCCGACCTGTGACAGTTTCATTGTCACAGGTCGGCTCAGATTATGAGGCTGAGTGAAAATCACTCGCCTCATAATTCTCCTTCGGTCGCTAAAAAAAAAATCTCTTCACGGAAGCCTATCCCAATTCTACCTTACAACAGAAATCTGACTTTCTCAAACAACTCATTACCACACAGTTACTACCTTTTGTATCACTGGCGCTTCCCTTTTGGGTTGTAAGTTCCCACGAGCAGGGCCCTCCTAACCAATCCCTTGGGAGACATATTCGGTTTATGTTGCTATAGTCACTATATTAAACCTGAATAATAATAATACACCATTAAGGTCACAGTAAAAATAAATCGAGTATTACAGGAAGGAAAAGCAGATTATTAGAGGTGTATAGATTATACAGCGATTGGTTTTCCTCTAGACTAGAGAACATGCGTAGAATCAAGACCCATGCTCCATTCACCAAAAAGGTTAGAATTACCCAGAGCTCATCAAGATAGTAGACGCTGGGGGTTGCAATCTGGGATGATCCGATCCCACAAAGACCCCTCGCCTACTATACAGCAGAATTAGAGAAGCAGAGAACATGAAGGATGTGGACGCTGTATGGAGGCACACTGCTAAAATGTGCTGAGGAGCATCAGTCACAATACGCTCACCTCCCCTTCCTCCATTGTCTAAAACATATCATACATATCATCTATAAAAACAGTCCATGCTCCGATAAGCTCATTTCCATATCAATGGCCGAACAAGCGCAGAGCTATGCCTTGCTCACGCATTAGAGGGTACAGCAGTCTGTCTATTCATGGACATTATCCAGCTTGGTCCATTAACCCCCCTGGAGTAGCAAGAACTTCCAGCGTAGGAAGGGTTAATGACAGGTGAATCATTTCAATGTGACAGGTCACTAAAAGAAAAACAAAAAGGTCACTTACTTTTCCTGTTGGACTCTAACTTCTTGGACTTCTTTCTTTGGTCTGGAAAAGAAGAAAAGGATAATTATTTGATGGGAGGAAAGAGGACCACCAGCTGATGACGGCCGGTACACGGCGGCGGGTCTGGTTTCACATAACGTGCGGCAATTCCTCACCTGCATACACACTGGTTGTGTTGCTGGAAACTCTTTTGCACATAGTTCTGACTGCTATGAGGCCTAAGCATCATGATCTGCAAGAAAAGAAGAAGCAAAAATCGTAAATTCTCCTCACTCATCACCTTAGCTGGAGACCTGTATAAAAAACGGGAAGCAGGGCTGGGCAAAGCGGTAGGCAGAAGAGGAGGCCACCATGGGTTCTTCAGCAGAATGGGGGCACAAAAAGGGGCAGGACTTGCAACCTATGCTCCTGATGTAGTTCACGTGGTGGTGGGCGTGATGGTGGGTAATGGGGCACAACGTCTTTTATCGCCTTGAGGTGCTAAAAGGACCGTGTCCCGGGCCCTGACGCAAAGTCTTCTCAACATGCAATTTCTTAAACTTCACTACATTGGAAAAGTGTTATGCCAACCACAACATATAGAAAAAAAATGGTGCCCCGGGAAAGTTAATCGGTGCTCCCAGTGATACAAGTCCCTGAGGGGGGTATAAAGATCTTGAAGACTCCCATGTGGTACCTGCATACAAGTCCCTGCCTGAGGGGGGTATAAAGATCTTGAAGACTCCTATGTGGTACCTGCATACAAGTCCCTGAGGGGGGTATAAAGATCTTGAAGACTCCTATGTGGTACCTGCATACAAGTCCCTGAGGGGGGTATAAAGATCTTGAAGACTCCTATGTGGTACCTGCATACAAGTCCCTGAGGGGGGGTATAAAGATCTTGAAGACTCCTATGTGGTACCTGCATACAAGTCCCTGAGGGGGGGTATAAAGATCTTGAAGACTCCTATGTGGTACCTGCATTGTGATGTTGTGCGTCCCTGTCGGCACACATTCCAGAGTCTCGTCGCTGCAGCAGCCTGCACATCTCATCAGTGCCACGCAGCTTGGCTTGAAGATGTACTCCACCTCATCTGGGTACTCCTGGAGTACGTCCACCAAGGTCTCCCGAACCTGGCACACACTGCGCTCATATACTTGCAAGAATGAAACCACTGTACAAAAACAAAACAAAAAAAATACATGAAAAGGAAGATCCGTCAGGAAATCCCACAAATCCGCCCAACCACGAGCAAGATTGCCACCTAAACAATGAACTCCCTTTAGGCCCCCTAACAGGTAGGCTTTTAAGCTGTGATAAGCCTCTTAGCGTTTTTAAAAGCAGAGGTTTACTTCCGCCTTAACTTCCTATGCGTTCGCTGCACTGAACTTTCCCCATCAGTATTGCCAACAGTGCCCAGTTCTCTTTGCAGGCTACAGAACACCTACCCCTATGCTATGGGGAAGAGAAGAGAAGTGTTCCTCAAAAGATACCATGGGTAAGCGTTGTCACCCTAGGATAGGTAGTGGCCAAGTGGCATTGGGGGGGGGGGGGGTTGGAATGCCGCCACCACACCCATGTAATAATTGCCCCGGAACGTGCTACTGAAAAGTCTGCCCGTTAGATCAGGCCATGGCATGGCTGTAGGAATGAGGAGCCCCCGAATGAAATTCAGAAATTCTCAGCGTCTGGAGTCCTTCTAAGGGAGGAATATCTCCAGCTACATGTGCGGGAACTAATTAGAGCCGCATTTCTCAACAAGAGGACAAAGACAGCTAGTCAAGAAGTGTTCGGCCACATGGTGTCTGGATTAGCAGGACACATTCCCTCGCAGTATCTGCGTCCCGGTGTGATTGTTTCATTGGCTGCTGGGATTAGAGCTAAAGCCCTAAAAAATCCTACTGGGTTCCCAGCCAGTGCCTAGTGGCGGTTATAGGAACTTCCATCCAGCTGGGGGCCAGTCATGGACCCAGAACACATCCCCATACCCTTCCTTTCCCAAAATCTACAAAAGACTGCATTTCACCAAACCTGGAAAGAGTAATAATCATTCTCCTGCCAATTATAGTATTTTAGCACTGGCAGCAGCTGCGCTCCCATGCTGAGCCACTGGACCTTCTAAAAGGAAACTACTTGTGCATTCAGATACATACAAGCTTGTGTCTCTCCCCCACAGACCGCAAGATTGAGATTTACAGATCCTGAACTATCACTGCATATTACATGGGCAGTCACTGCATTCTCCTATTCATATCACTGCATATTACATGGGCAGTCACTGCATTCTCCTATTCATATCACTGCATGTTACATGGGCAGTCCCTGCACTCTCCTATGTATATCCCTGCATGTTACATGGGCAGTCCCTGCACTCTCCTATGTATATCCCTGCATGTTACATGGGCAGTCCCTGCACTCTTCTATGTATATCCCTGCATGTTACATGGGCAGTCACTGCATGTTACATGGGCAGTCCCTGCACTCTTCTATGTATATCCCTGCATGTTACATGGGCAGTCCCAGCACTCTCCTATTCATATCCCTGCATATTACATGTGCAGTCACTGCACTCTCTTGCTGCCCCATACTTGCTACTATACTGCTGCACTTGGAATTTGCACAAAAGGAAATCAAATATAAACAGAACTTTTCATTTGGGTACACACAGCATCGGGTTTTGGCACCAGCGCAGAGCGGCTATCTAATCTCCATCAGACATTTCTCCAGAACTTTTCAAAACAACCAGCAGAAAGTAAATGGGACGCGAGCTCGGGTCAGCGTCCGTGGGGACCGCTGGCGTGTAGGACTGCAAGCATTACAAGCTGCCCTGCGGTTGGAGATGACATCATGGAAAACCATCCCCTACACCAGCAAGGTGTATGCCAGGGACAGGGATGGCGGATATTCTGCAGAGCATCGCCATGAATGGTCACCCGAGATCCGGGGAGCGCGTGATGATACTATTGGAAGCTCCTACCAATAACGTCGCTGGCTCAGCCGCTCGGTGATGCAGTCAGATGATTCGTGACTAGCTAACAATGCCACCACGGAGTGACAGAGCATTTCCCCGCGCCCCCCCTCCTGCTGCACGCTCCCCACGTTTCAACAGCTTAAAATAAACGGGCTGACTAATCTTAAACCACTGCAGGCGGGATAATAATAGGAAATAACAATGCGAGTGAATTCTTCCTTTGCCGACTGACATAGAACCATATTTTGTACAGTCAGGCGACACCAGCCACTATGCCCGCCGCACCGGAGAGGGAAATCTTGTCATTGTATAATATTAGGACCCAGGTGCCGCACGTAGGCAGCGTTATCAGCAAGCGATCAGCGACACACGTGACCGCACTCCTCTGCTAGCCAAGCACAAATTGCCACTTCTGTACTCGGCTCCCGGACCGCATAAGAGCACGCGGCAGACATTCTGTTTGCCTGAAGAAGCAACCGCTGTTCCGAAACGTCGCTATATGATGTGATAGCAATCGAGTCAATAAACCGTTTGTGACTTGAAATTCTATTGGAGTGCGAGTGACTTTATACATACACTTATCTTGGATTGCAGAGGCATCTGCAGTCACTTTGACACCCACCTGACTCCAAGGGTAATTTTCGGTCAGGAGTGCGATGGGTTCACTGGATTTTAGACATAATATAGAACGCCAGTGGCTTCTATGAAGTTAACAGAACGCACAATACAGCAAAAAAAAAACAAAAAAACTGCATGACAAAAACACAGAAAAAAGACATGACCCTTACCTTGTGTGGACTTGTACTCCTTTTCTTGTGTAGGGGCCGCCTGGGAAAGCTGCAGTTAAGAAAAAAAGATACACAAAAAGGTCAGAAAAAGGTGCAACATTGTATGTAAGAGGGGCACACATTTCTATAAAGTTTTATTGAAAGGATACAACAAGAAAGATTCAGAGCAGAATCTGCATGTCCAGGAGCATACAACTAAAGACAACATATGCGTCCTTGTATAATCTGATACAAATGCCATCTTACATATATACACTGAGTGGCCAGATTATTATGACCACCTGACGTTTGTAGGCAAATTAGCTATAATTTGGCGCTGAAGTTGCTAGAGGGCCAGACCATTATAAATAGGGAAGCGGGTTGGTTACCACGACAGTAGAAGTGATTTGTTTCTGAAGATACGGGGAAACAACGCGATTTAACAGCCTTTGAACGTGGGATGATTGTTGGCGCTCGGAGCCATGGAGCGAGTATCAGCAAAACAGCAGAATTCCTTAAATGTTCAAGAGCAGCTGTTGTTAAAGTGTTTAAAGACCGGACTGTCAGCCGAAAATCTGGGTCTGAACGTGCGAATTGTGGCCGTCAGCGACTAGTCAATGTTAGGGCAGAACGGGGAGGGGCAAGACTGGTACAAGACAACAGAAGGGCAACAGTGCCGTGTCAGATTCCTCGCATCACCTTTCAACATCTCGTGGAGTCACGAGGCGGCCCAACGAAGTCATCTCATGGAGTCATCTCGTGGCCCAACGAAGTACTGATGGGGTGGTCATAATAATCTGGCCACTAAGTGTATATACCAGGGCCAGGTAACCTCGGCGCTGCTGCAGGACTACAAGTCCCATGAGGCTAAGCAAGATTGACAGCCACAGGCATGACTCCCAGAAAGAGAGGCATGGTGGGATCGGTAGTGTCAGTGCAGCTGGAGGGCCGAGGTTGACTACCCCTGGTATAGATAATGCAAAATGATGTTTGCATGGAAATAAAGAGATCCGTCAGCCACTTCGGTCATAGAAGATGTCGCCTCATTGATTACACGGAGCAGGAAGATGACGGATCGTGGAAATAAACCTGCTCACCCATAGCTAAGAAGATCTGAGGGGTGAACATTTTGATGGCGCCCCCGTCAGGGACAATGGAGTCTAGAACGCAGAGCTCGGCTACTGACCAATACCAGGGAAGAAGGACGTGTACTTGAAGAGTTAGGGATACAGTACGATTCCTATTATACAGGTTTGTTTATTTTATGCATCTGCTTCACACTGCATCCCAGCTTGTGAGCATGCGTAACCTCAAATAAAGGCCTGCAGTGGTTTACATTCCTCTTAGGCCGGGCACACAGATCACATTGCAGCTCATTCGGATCTGTGGGTGGCCCTGTTGGCACCACCCAGGTTGAAAAAAAAAAAAAGAGCTCACTTTTGCAGGTGCCAGCAGGACCACACACAAAATCGGATTTTGTAATCGGCTGAGATTCGATCTGTGCATGGAGCTGGGTGGCCTAAACACTGACAGCAGCCAATCAGCTCCAGGGTTTTTTTTTTTGTTTTTTTTTTAACAGCAGTAGCAGAAGCCAGGTGTTGGAATACAAGAGCCAAAAAGGGAAGATTCCTCCATCCGTGCTCTTTAGGGGGAACCGATTTCTCATTCTTCTTATTCGCCAGAACGAGAAATATCCTCAGGTGTACGGCCAGCTTTGGGGGGCTCTGTTATCTGGCACAGTTCTGCACACTCAGGAGCCGGAGGACAGTGATGTTAGGCAGCCTCTTGCAGAGGTCAGGTGACCTCCTAACCCCTGGAGGCCAAGCTAAAAACATGGGGGCCAACATATATAAATCTTTCACAGGTATGCCGGCACACAAAAAAGCATTTATTTTTTGCAGAAGGCTCTGGAGAATAACATGGAGGCCGCCATTGCTCGAATGCCAGTTTCCTGGCTGTCATGAGGACTT